AGCTCCGTCGAGGATTTATGTCCGCCTTAGTTTCCAGTTTGATACTAAAGATTTATCTCAGGGTGTCTTTTTGGTGCCATCTTCATGCTCGTCTGGGGCGACTGGCTCGGTCGTCGAAAAGGTATCATTAGCGGCGCTATCGTCATGATCCTTGGTGTTATTGTGCAGATCACTTCTTATGCTGGCAAGCAGCCTCTCGCACAATTTACCATTGGGCGTATACTCACTGGTGTGGGTAACGGAATGAACACTTCTACCATTCCCACCTACCAGGCCGGTATGTATTCAATGAATTTGCATGGAATCTTGTTAGCATAGAGAAAGTCGACTAACTCTGAATTTAGAATGCTCTCGAACCTCAAATCGTGGTCTTCTTATCTGTATCGAGGGTGGTACCATTGCCTTTGGTACACTGATTGCTTATTGGATTGACTTTGGTGCATCATATGGTCCCCCCGATGTGATTTGGCGTTTTCCTATTGCCTTCCAGTGTGTGTTTGGATTATTTATTATTGTTGGTATGATCCTTCTACCTGAGTCACCGCGCTGGCTTTTCACACGGGAACGCTATGAGGAAGGTGAGAAGGTTATTGCTGCACTTCTAGGCGCCGAACCAGACTCCCACGAGGTGGCCCTACAAAAGAACATCATCATGGATTCTATCCGCGCCTCTGGTCAAATGGGGAAGACCACCCCAATGTCTGCCGTCTTTACCGGTGGCAAGACTCAGCACCTCCGTCGTATGCTCCTTGGAGTTTCGTCCCAGCTCATGCAGCAGATTGGTGGCTGCAATGCTGTTATCTACTATTTGCCTATCCTCTTTAGAGACTCGATCAAGCTGGAGGGGAAGCTTCCATCTATTGTCGGTGGTGTCAACATGATTGTCTACTCCATCTTTGCGACTGCTTCTTGGTTCTTGATTGAACGAGTCGGGCGTCGCAAGCTTTTTCTCTACGGTACCATTGGCCAGATGGTCTCAATGCTCATCACCTTCGTTTGCTTGGTTCCCGACAAGTCCGGTCCAGCTAAGGGTGCCGCTTTCGGTCTTTTTATATACATTGCTAGCTTTGGTGCTACTTGGTTGCCATTGCCCTGGTGTGTTTTGAGTCCCAAACTAGAAATCAATGTGAATACTAATGCGTTTCTAGGCTGTATCCAGCCGAGATCAGCCCGATCAAGACTCGTGCCAAAGCCAACGCGCTTTCGACCTGTTCCAACTGGCTTTTCAACTTTTTGATTGTTATGGTAACTCCAATCATGATTGAAAAGATCAAGTGGGGAACATATCTCTTCTTTGCAGCGCTGAACGCTTGTTTCTTGCCCATCATCTACTTTTTCTATCCCGAGACCGCTCGCCGTTCTCTGGAGGAGATTGACCTGATCTTCGCCAAGGGATTTTCGGAAAATATCAGTTACGTGCGCGCTGCAAATGAGCTACCTTACCTTTCTGACGAGGATATTGAGCGTGTCGCTATCCAGTATGGATTTGGTGCCGATGAGATGAAGCCTGGTGGTGTTTCGCAACCTGAGGCTACCTAATTGTTGGGTGTGGTAGACGGCCCTGCTTTTGGCGAATCTCGTGCGGTACTAGATGTAGAATGCTCTGATATTTTGTGTTAGATGCCTATACAAGACATTTCAATAAATGACTAGTCAAGTTGCAGACAGCTTTCGGACTCTTAGGACCAGCAGGAACATGTGATTATGAAGGTATTGAAAAACATCAGCACCACCACTCTATAGGTAGTAGATCCTACACCAATTGATATGATATTGGGATTGTAAAGAACATGAATAATACCGTCTAATACGTATGTAGAGTAGAGACGAACAGGCATCTAATTTATCCCCCCCCCCCTCCTCCCATTTCATCATATGCTAGTATCTCAATAGAATAACGTAAGTGCACCGGGGGTGTACACACCTGTGGACCCTAGAGCACCGCTAGATCCTTGTGAAGAAGTAAAGATATGCGGTTTTCTTCATCGCTTCGATATCTTCAAACTTGACAACTTTTTCATCATTGAACATCACCCATGACAGGCCACTTTGACCTGGCAATTGTTTGCGAATCATGGCAACATAATGCCTAGCATGTGTTAGTCTAACCCAACGAAGTGAGAACGAAGACATAGAGCCACTCACCCTGCATGGACAGATGTGCCTTTGTGGCATACAATTGACCTTAATTCATATCGAGCAGGTAGGCTAGTAAGCCCAACCGAGCCACCATGAGACTGTGCGTTGTGGTCGTCGATACTCGGTGTTTCCATTTCCACCACATCATCTGAGTGAGTGAAAACCCAATCCAGTGCCCTGTTAACATCACCGTCGGTCGCGGCCAAGGCTCGCTGGGCACGAGGCGCCTCAATACCCATGTCCCCTAATTGAGCGATTTTTGCCGCGTCTTGCTCATTAGAACTGGAGGTGCCGACTGGTTCAAGGGCCATCGGTTCATCGATGTCTGGATCTTCCATGTGGGCAAATAGCCAATTCATGGCAGTTTCCGGATCAGAGTTGCCAGTGGCATGAAGAGCTTTCTCACACCTCACAGCAGGGAAACCCATGCCTATGAGTTGATCGAGGGCTCCTGGATTCGGGACAAATGCGGTAGATTCTTCAATATCGGGAAGTTGCTCCTCACCCGCATCATGCTCACCAGCAAGGTAAGAGCTGAAATCCAGTGGTTTGTCGTCGACCAGCACAGGGATATCCAACTTTGTCGGAACCCAGTTGACGAGCTCAAACCGACGAGCATTGACCACTAATTCCTGAGGCAATGTTTTGAAAGACGACTGCTTCGAAAAGCCATCTTGGCTGCCACAAGCAGGACAGGTAAGCTCAACGACCTCCGCCGAAGTAAAGATGTCTAGACACTCTGACAAATCCACAGACTCATATTCCTTTCCTGTTCCGTCAGAACTGGTAATAGGACGTGCGGGGACAGCAACCGAAACGTTATCTTGCTCATCCACTTTATAGCGGACTTTTTTGCAATGCAAGCACTGAAGACGCTGCTCAACCTGGAAGCGAAAGTCCTGGACCGGGTTAATCTGCGGACTGGTGTGTTTCGATAGGCTGACAGACTTGAATAAATGAAGGAGGAATTCAAATGCATCTTGCTGTCTCATAGTTGAGAACTCCTCATGACCTTGGCCAATAAGATACTTGAACATTGCTGGTGCTAAACCCTTCTGATGAGCGACTTCTGGTATATCCGCGGACAACATAACGCGAGAATCAGGCCGAGAGTACCGGCCTGAGAGTAGACCGTCGGCAAGTTTTCGCAATTGTGTCTCAAGGTCCTGTGCTGGTGCTTGGCAGAGTGGTGGTTCTTCTGACAGCTGATAGTATCGCTCACGAAATCCGGCCACAGAAAATATGCATTGCATGATACTGGAGAGATAGCAGCTGTTGCCAAGATTCGCCAGACCTGTAAATGCAGGCCCAAAGACAGGGACCAGCTCCCGGCCATCCTCGGTCGTCATGGAAAATTCCCATTTTAGATTATGCTCGACCTGCATCTCCATCAGACTCTTCTCTGTCTTCTCACGCCCAGCCAAATAGATTCCCCAGTGCGCAAGGTGGGTCGCTAGTTCTGGGTCTACTCTTTCTTCGTTGCACTTATAACAGTAGACATCAGCAGAGCCTTCTGCTGTGATGGAGCCAAGCTTGACAGCCACAGCATGTGATGTTGAGTCTGCATGAGTAAGCCCATGGGAGTTTCCCTTGCTTCCACCGAATTGACTTCGCCCACAACCCTTATTCCCACATTCCAGACACAGCCAGAGGTTCTCTCCCAGGTCACACTCTGAACAATGGTTTAAATCTGCAATTTCATTAGCCCAGACCCCAGTTGAGTATTTCAGGGAATCAATACCAGTCGATGCGGCATGCGTGTTGTCCTGTTGAACCAGACACAATGTATGCTCGCAAGGCACAAACTCTTGCTCCCATGCCTTGACTTCTTCCTTTCTTGAGAAAGTCATTGCTGTCATAACACCTTCAATGACAGCAGGGAGCTTGCCACTGGCTTTGTCCACATTGTCTTGGGGGCATGAATAGCACACCACTGACGTAGCAATGTCATATCTATCCTCTTCCGTTTCGGCTGCGATGGAAAGCTTTGAAATCTTCGGCGGGGGCTCGTCGCGCTATAAATCAGAGGTGTGAGAATCATTGGCCACAAGTCCAAGAAATGTTTAGAGGCTGTACCTGCACTTTCTTAGGAGTCCTTCGTATGTTCAAAGCCAGTGGATGGCCAAATCTCTTGTAATGAAGCAGGGCATGGTCTCTGTTTCCAGCACATCCACCATTGAAGCAATTCAGACAGACATTTAGACCAGCATCATCGTCCTTGCAAGGTTAGTCAGACGACATGTGGAGTGGTAGGAACCGGGGTGGCATACAATAGAATCAAAGCACTGAGTACAATCTTCTCGATAAACAGCCTGGTAAGGTCCTGGCGGATTCAGATCTATGGAGTGTTGTCCATTAGCTCCATTTGTTCTTCGATTATCAAGGTGATGTCACAAACCCGCAGCACCGGTATGGACACAAGAGGCCATATCCAGAGTGGAAATCTCAGTAATTCACGACGTGTCAATAAAGACTTCTTAGCTTTTAACGAGGACTTCAGAAGGTGCGATAGTATCCCATTGAAAGTAAAGATGGGAAAAAGACGGAATATTAAATAGTGCAGATCAAGCTAAAGCTACGATGCGTGGGGTTGCTCCTTCCTCACCGCCTGCACGTGCTCTTATCAATGTTGTCCTGAGGCATGAAGTCATGTGGTGGGGGTGTGCCACTTAACGCGTTATTTTCTTAACACGCGTTCCAACCTTGTCCTCCAACCTGGACTTGCTCTCTCAAGTTCGGTCTTCCTTGCTTCGTTTCTTTTTTATTTCCCTGATTCATCCCTTCACGTCATCGTTTTTAGTCTTTCCTCAAGTCTTCTTTCTCGACTCTCTCAATTATTGAAATTTGAAGTCATCATTATCATGGCTTCCGAGGCAGCATCCCAAATCACTATTGGGGCTCTAAGGTTTGTATTCATTGGTCTGTACGGCAGTATATAAGCTAATCGCGTGTTTAACAGTGCCATATTTGATGAAACCAAACCCCAAGTACCAGAGCCAATTGTTCAATGCGTTCAGATCAAGACCTTGCCATCTCCGCCGAACCAACCAGAACGTTACCGGGCTGTTTTCAGTGATATTGCGAACTATGTCCAAACGATGATTGCTACTCGTACGTGCTTTCCTCTCATTACTCTTAGTAGCTCATCGGACTTACTAACCGCTAGAAGAAGCCACTGGGGTGGTGAAGGATGGGTCTCTTCGGAAGGGCTGTTTCGTGCGACTCACGTCATTTCAGTCAAATGTTGTCAAAGGAAAGAAGTATGTGATGCAATTCTATCCATTTTGACTGTGCTAATAATCACAGTATCCTCGTCATCTTGGGCCTTGAAGTTCTAACGGAACTGGGCGAGGCTGAAAAAATCGGTGATCCCAAACCACTTGCAGTCAAATCCGAGGAAGAGGAAGTGGGTCAACCGACAACAATATCCAGCAATGGGTTTTACGGCTCCAAGATGGAGGGTGCACAGGCTCAGCCGAATAGCCGAGCCCAGCCAATCTCTGCCCCTATGTCTACTTCCTCCGTCCATGCCACAATCTACCCGATTGAAGCCGTCTCCCCGTATTCCAACAAATGGACGATCAAAGCGCGATGCACAAACAAGTCCGCCATCAAAACATGGCACAACAAGAATGGTGAGGGTAGACTGTTCAGTGTGAATTTACTGGACGACAGTGGTGAAATTCGTGCAACTGGTTTCAAAGAACAGTGTGACATGCTCTATGAACTCTTCCAGGAGGGCAGCGTTTATTATATTTCGACTCCATGTAAGGTCCAAATTGCCAAGAAACAGTTCTCAAATCTCAACAACGATTATGAACTTGTATTTGAGAGAGATACCATTGTTGAGAAGGTAACATCTCTTTCTTCATAAACCAAATGCGTCGCTGACATTCTATGATAGGCCGAGGAGCAAAATGATATCCCTCAGATCCGATACAACTTCACCACCGTTGCTGATTTGCAGACTGTCGAAAAAGACACGACCACTGATGTTATTGGCGTTCTGACGGAGATTGGGGAGGCATCCCAGATTGTATCGAAAAGCACCGGCAAACCTTACGAGAAGCGTGAGCTTACACTGGTCGATAACACAGGATTCTCTGTCCGCTTGACAATTTGGGGTGCAACTGCACAAAATTTCAGTGTGACACCCGAGTCTGTTGTTGCCTTCAAGGGAGTTAAGGTTTCTGACTATGGCGGAAGAAGTCTGAGTCTTCTGAGTTCCGGCTCGATGACTGTTGACCCTGACATCGGGGAGGCTCACCGACTCAGAGGTTGGTATGATGCCCAAGGCAGGTCGGAAACCTTTACATCCCATGTGTCAAATGCGACCAACTCCATGGGCAAAAGGGATCCCTTTAAAACCATTGCGCAAGTTCGCGAGGAGCAGCTTGGCATGTCTGAAACTTTTGATTACTTCTCTCTGAAAGCAACTGTGATCTTCATCAAGCAGGATAACGTCTGGTGCTACCCTGCCTGCCTTTCTGACAACTGCAACAAGAAGGTAACGGAACTTGATCCAGGACAGTGGCGGTGCGAAAAATGTGACAAAACCTACCCCAAGCCAGAGTACCGCTACGTCCTGCCTATTAGTGTCGGTGACCATACTGGCCAGCTTTGGCTCAGCTGTTTTGACGACACTGGAAGGAAAATTATGGGCACATCTGCCGATGACCTAATGCAACTTCGCGAAGACGATTCCAATGCTTTCGGTGAAGTCTTCCAAACAGCGAATTGCCAGACCTGGAACTTCAGGTGCCGAGCCAAGACAGATAACTTTGGCGACCAGCAGCGGTAAGAATGATGGAACGACAATAATTCAAATAATGCGAACATCATGCTAATTGTGTCATCCAGGGTGCGATATCAGGTCTCATCCTGCCAGCCGATCAATTACTCGGAAGAAGCCTCTCGCCTTGCCGATATCATTGACTCGTACAGCATTGAGTAAGTACAGGCACAGTGGGGAAATATTATTGTCCTGCTTTGTACTAGCTTTACTATTTCCATATACGCTCGGAGCTTTTTCATCAATGTTCATGTGTACTTTTACTAGTATGCTGCTCAAGCTACGCCATGATCATCTCATTTATGGCTTCTCATTTTGACATTTGTTCGTTCTCCCTTATTTAGTATTTTAAAAACACCTAAATAGTAATTTTTCACTACCATCCCCTTCCTTATGAGCAATCCGCAATGTGCGCTATCACTCCGTCTGGACAGGACTCCAAAGGTTCTACATGTACCGTACTATATGTGAGGCGGTAAGCCAACAAAGGCGGAAATCAATGGCATTACACGATTGCTTTTTCTTTTTTTTTTTTTTCTTTCGGGTTTTCTGCTGGAACAATTCAGGCAGGGAATTCAGTCTCGTGCTCTTTATCTTTTGGTTCATTCTAAAATACTCATCATGGGTAAGCGAAGCCATCTTGAGCCAGCTGAGCAGCGACCGAAGAAAAAGTCCAAGTCTGAGAAGTCTGAGAAGTCCGAGAAGCCCTCAAAAGCTTCTAAAGATAAGCAGGAAAATGGCGATGAGAAGACAGCAGCTTATTCTGATGCGTCTGCTCTATCCGATATCCCTCAGTCAGACATTGACGCTTTTTTGACCGAGAACGTGATTAAAGTCTCTGATCCCTCCTCACCCGACGCCACACAATTCCGCCCAATCCTTTCGTTTGATCACCTACCTAAATGTGACGCTGGTCTGTACACTCAGTTGAAGTCTTTCCCCGCGCCAACACCGATTCAATCCACCACCTGGCCGCTTCTTTTTGCCGGCCGTGATGTGGTCGGTATCGCAGAGACTGGAAGTGGCAAGACACTTGGCTTTGGCTTGCCGTGTCTGAAGAAATTGATTGACTCCAAGTCAAGCAAGCCTTGTCAACCCAAGGCAGTGGTTATCTCGCCAACACGAGAGCTTGCAATGCAGATTTATGACCAGCTTGTTAAATTCGGCGGCACTGAGAAGACTCGGGTGACATGCATTTACGGAGGTGTGGGTAAAGATGAACAGCGTCGGGCCCTTCAAAAGGCCGCCATTGTGGTCGCCACCCCTGGCCGTCTTAAGGATCTCCTGAATGATGGTTCGATTGATCTTGGAAAGGTCACCTATCTCGTCTTGGATGAGGCAGATCGCATGCTTGACAAAGGATTTGAGCAGGATATCAAGGACATCGTCAAGCCGATGCCCGTCTCCAAGAGACAGACTGTTATGTTTACGGCAACATGGCCTCGGTCCGTTCGAGATCTCGCGGCAACCTTTATGAAGAACCCAGTAACTGTCACCATTGGCGGAGATCCATCTGCGGATCCCCGAGCCAACCTTAGGATCAAGCAAGTCGTCGAGGTTGTTGATGGCCGAGATAAGGAGAGCCGACTCATGCAGCTGCTCACTAAATCCCAGCGTGGTCATCAGTCGCCCGAGAAAGTCCTGGTTTTCTGCCTCTACAAGAAGGAGGCTATGCGCATTGAGAATCTCATCAGAAACAAGGGATTCTCTGTCGCCGGTATTCACGGTGATTTGAACCAATCAGATAGATTCCGAAATCTTGATGCTTTCAAGAACGGCAAAGCTACCATTCTTGTCGCAACCGATGTGGCGGCGCGTGGCCTTGATATCCCGAACGTGAAGCTAGTGATTAATGTCACTTTCCCTCTTACCGTTGAGGACTACGTGCACCGGATTGGAAGAACTGGACGTGCTGGGGCTGACGGCCTTGCCATCACAATGTTCACTGAAACTGACAAGGGACTGTCCGGCGGGTATGTTACTCATATTTCTAATATCCTTGACTGGCCAATGCTAATGATGAATAGATTGATCAATGTTCTCAAGGCAGCTAAGCAAGATGTGCCAGAAGCTCTGTTGAAGTTTGGCACAACAGTCAAGAAGAAGCAGCACGATGTGTACGGCGCCTTTTACAAGGACGTTGATATGGACAAGACAGCGACAAAGATCACATTTGACGATTAATTGGGCTCATTCCGACTTGGTATTTTTGCTGGAGGATTTGGAGGACAAAATGTGCCGAAGCCTTGTCAGTTGACCCATCAAGTATTCCCTTTCTATATAGGCTCTATTATTTTTGTCGGTTAGGCGTTAAGAACAAATCAACATGGAATCCGATCAGATCAGTACTCACATTACGAGGGCATAGCCACCACTTAAGGCGCATGCTTTGATAATTCCCAATTCCAGGCCAAATCCGCGGCCCAAGAACAAGCTCGCCAGAGCACACAGAATGAAGCTAGCAGGTCGAATGGCGACCTCACTCGTGTACAAGCTGCATCCATTTCGATGGAAGTAAGATTTGATGAAACTGTAACTCCAAAAAGTTCGAACCGCCATGTTCACAATGTTGGCCAGGACCAATCCATATGCACCCAAGCTCCCTATCTCTAGGAACATATAGGCCGCCAAGGCATAACAGGCGGAAAAGACACCCATCCACGCCGTTTGCTTCCGTAGCTGTTGCGAATTTGCCGCGGATGATACGAACGCTTCGGTGATCCCATTAAATGCCAAAAATGGAATGTAGTAGCAATAGACGGAGAGCAGGTCTCCGATTTTAGGGGAAGCCCATTGACGGCCTCCCAAGATATGCAACAATTGAGGAACCATCAGTGGGCCCAACGGGAATATCAAGGCTGACAACAACTGGTACGCGCGTAGAATATCTACAAGATGATCTCTGGTAGTGCGGATATGGATATTGTTCAACTTCCCATCCTCATCGGGGCTGAGTAGGGCAGAGAATAAGTTCCGGCTGCTCTCCTCCAGCGGCTGGAAGATTATCCGTGCAATGAGACCGCCATAGTTCGACGCAAGAGAATATATGCCCTGATCTTCCAGTCCTGAAAGGGCTGCGAGCGTCATAGTGTCGCCCTGCGTGAGCAAATGCTTCACTAGAGATTGGAAAAAGACATTCGCAGCAATTGACGTTAGCTGTCGTGAAAATAGTCCCAGAAAGTAGTTGGAGGGGTCCCTATATCAATTGTTACCATGTCATTCTTCGTGGTATAGCTTGCACTAGATGAGGCCAGTCTTACCTGGTTCGTATACGTGTCAATAAGAAAGAGAACCGAGTTCCGTTGGTTTCTCTGAGCAGGGCCAGCGAGTAGCCACAAATGAGGGCCAGCGAGTAGCTGAGGTGACCAAGAGCAAATGGTAGCACGCCGAGGTCAAAGTTGACTTGAGAAGCATATATGAAGGCAAAAGATGTCACCGCACTTCTCAGAAATGCCGCTGGCATTTCAACAACAGCGCGTTTTTCATAAAGCATATGTTGCTGCACCACTGAGAAAAAGGGCTCGGTGCTGAGTTCCATGAGAGATGCAGCGCCGATCAAGATCACACTGGGGTAGAAGAAGGCGATCTTTGATGCTTCCTCTGACACGAAGCGCTGGTAAAGCATAGTGAACATAAGACTGCAAGGAATCCCAAGGGCGAGGCTCAAGTAGGACACGTTTACCACCGCTTGAGATGCCACAGACTGCGAATCCGTTGCTACAGCATCTGCATCAGAGGAAAGTTTTTTGTTGTCAGGCGAAGATGGAACAGGCTGCCTTTGGATAGCCATCCGAATACTTTCCCTCGAGAAATACAGGATAGAAACCTGGAAGAGCTCCAGTTGTGCTGCTATTCCTAGCACTACCGGTGAAAGGGTGCGCAAAATCAATTGGTTCGAGGCAAAGGTAAATATCCTGGACGCTAATTGAATTAAGATCAAAAAGCTTGTGCCCGTGGCCGACGACGCCAGAATCTTGCCCATACGGGCATCTTCGGGTTTTGCCATGCCCGTGATTGAACCTAGTTATGACGATTCGTGCAATAAGGTGTTCTCACGTCAAATAAATCAACAAGAAGACTTTAAGCCGACCTCGGGGGGTGTAGGGGTAAAGGAAAGAGAGGATGTGGACAGGTGGGGCTCTAATCCAGGGCTTGACGTTTTGGCTTAGGCTTTTGAGGAATGGAAGATATTTGCTAGATGCAAATCAAGAACTTTTTTAAGCTGACGAAATTTTATATGAAAGGAATACGGAGTACCATATAGTTAATCTATTGAATGCCACTTGGAGGTCACTTGCTTACGTGTAGCCCTCAAGTTCCCAGCTAGGCATAGTTAAGTATGGCTACAGGCTAATTGTGAAACTCCTTCTTAAAGAACCCTCTGTGGCGTCTTCGGTACGTAAGATTTGGTATGCAAAATTTCCATGGCAAAAGGAAAGAGGCACTATGGGTCAAGATCCGCAAAGCCCTGTGTCTCCTCCAAGTGGTCCCCCAGGGCTGATCCATGTCAACTTCCGTTTGTCATCATATACAGGAAACAAGACTTGGAAAGACCTGGTCACTAGGATATCAATGATCGTTTGTAGATCAATACGTCTCCAGGTGTTGCCTTGATCAAGTAGGCTCTTGGACGCTTTAGAACGGAGGCAGATAGAATGGGTAGCCACCATTCTTGGTTTTGAAGACACTAAGAAGGAAGCTGTATGTTGTGAAAAGAACAGTTGCCCAAATCAAGACAGCCAGCTGTTGACCCTTGGGATCTTCCATCCGGGGAACCTTCAGTGCGAGTGCGATCGTAGCAAAGGAGAGAACAGCGTCTGCGAGCAAAATGTTAACCTAGGAATTCGACATGGAAAGGAGGCCCAGTATCAATGAGTCTCACGATTATCACTTACAGATGGCAGCCACAATCTGAGTTTCCATCCCAAACTGGTTTTGGAACCCACCGGCAAAGTAGCTAATGCCACCATGGCCATCACCAGCAACATATGGGACCTTTCGGATGTGGTTGAACATTTGACCACTTGTGAACAGAAGAATAGCGATAAGGCTGATTGCAGCCCAAAGGTTTCGGTTCTGGATAATTGGGAGTATGTAGGGAGAAAGAACTGCAATCGCAGTCACAACTGCCATCAGAATTGTGATCGCTGATACAATCCGCATATAGTTGATGGGTCGAACTAGCTGAGGCTTGGGGCCTTCAGGCAAATGACGTCCAATCCAAGAGTAGACCTGGTCGGCTGATATCGGGCTATTTTGGATTGACATGTTAGTGAGACAGGAGATGGGCAAGACCCTTGGTAGAAAAACATACCCTGTGAAATCAAACCGAAGGGGATTTCCTTCAACCTTGGCGAAGGGACCGACGGTAGGAGGGAAGACAAGGAGTACGGGTGCAGTTTGAAGCATGAGCTGCTTAGGTTAGTCGCATGCCATACAGCTCAGTCTGAGTAAAAATGCCTTACCTTTTGGAAAATGGCTTTGCCATTATCAAAATCAAGTGTTCCAAAGACCACCTTGAGGTCATCAGGCTTGGTGCCCTTGGTCCAGCTTCGGGCGATCAGGTCCCATTCAGATTCGAAGTCGCGGCATAGGAGGCAGCCAAAGCGAGGATCCGTGGCAGTCAGGATAATCACAGCATAGTAATCTCGAGGTGTCGAGGTGAGGTCTTCATATGATGCACTGTCCAGTTCAACAAGCCCTGAACGAGACAGGGATTGATATTTTGTAAACTTGTCCGGTGTTGAGCTCGCAGACAGGACACCAGACACGACCGAGGAAAGGAGAAAAAGGGCCGACCAGAGCTTCATTTTAGCATGACAGTGTGCTAGACAGCTTGGGAAGGGTTATTTAGAAAGTGCAATTGATTGAAAAACCATCAATCGGTTGCAATTGAAGTTGTTTGAACACGTTGAGTGATAAAGTCCAGGTGTCCACTATCAACGTAATCGCCCGGCATATCGGCTTACTTAATATATTCGGGGTCGGCGTCGGCGCCAAAACACGGGCGCGTCTTCCTTTGCGACAATTTTATATCGTACTTTGACAAGCATTGAACATAACACCACATATATTACCCTTATATTTCTTTTGCTCTGGCCTGTATCATTTTATTTCTAGGCGTTTTCATTCTATTTTCTTATATCGAAGGGCTCCTGTCCTGGACACTGTCGTCATGGCAATGACAGAAGAAGCATCGGCCTCAGATGTATGTGGCTTCCCTGGATTGATCCTGGTATAGTCAAAAATGCTGACTCTATCATGCAGTTTGAAATGTCCATAAGGACTATACTTCTAGAGAAGGAGTATGAGAAGACCCTTTCAGTTTCCGCTCGTCTTCTAGATGAGGAGAGGGATCGTGTACGACGCATGGAGCTTTTGCTCTCGAAATTTGAGAATGAGGCTCTTCGGTCGCAGTTGAAGGAAGCAAATGGGCATCTTTTGGGATTCACAAGTGCTGATTCAGAGGCATGTGCTCAACTTCAGGAGGCTTGCCAAGAAATTGATCACCTGGAGCTTCGAGCACAGGCATCCTCGATTGAGATTAACCGACTCAAGGTAAGTCTTAACCCAGTCTAGAGGCCGGAAACATAATCCGTTATGTTGACAGCAATAGGAAGAACTATCGGTCCAGAAAAATAATTCGACCAGTTATAAAACTGTCCTTGCAGAGAAACTTCGTCTCTCCAGAGAACTTTCAACTTTGCAGTCAGAGCTTGAGCGGTTCAGAGCGCAAAATGCATCATACCAAGTCACCATTTCCGAAAAACATGAGATGGAACGGCAAATGAACTCTCTGGAGCTTCAACTTGATAATGAAAAACATGCCCATGAACGTGCTCAGCTCAAGGCGTCACAGCAGATGACAGAGATCACCCAGCTTTCTGCTCGAGTTGGAGAGTTACGGGCTGAGCTAGCGGGGGAATTACGAGCAAAACAGCAGCAGGAACAGGACAACCACCACCAGAACTTGGCATGGGCTAATGAGCGGGCGACGTTTGAAGGAAAGATTGATTCGCTCAAACAACAATTGCGGTCCACCAAGGACAAGCTTCAGGAAGCCCAGGTTGAAATTCAGCAGCGACGCAACGTAAAATCACACGCAGGAAATAACTCTGAATCCAGCTCTCGAAAAATCCCCCTTCAGCGCCCTGGCCCGAGTGCCGGCGTGACGATCGTAACCCCTGGTGCTGTTCGTGTGCAAGAGCAATTGAAAAAGCATTCGGCTGTGCCTGGGGACAAGTCGGCGTTTTCCATCACTCCATTCTTGAACCGCACAGGGGCACCTTCGGATTCCCCAATGAGCTCAGTTGGAGACGAAGACGAGATTCTTGGAAACGACGACACTCCTCGTGGACCACTTGGCAAGCAGGGTACTTTTGGCGAACAGAAGCGAATTGGTTCTGCCCTCCGGCGCCAGCTATCTCCAACAGAAGACCGCATTCCAATCACAAAATCCACCAAACCAAGGGCACGCGACGGCGCAATGCCTGTATCAGCACCGGATAAAGAGGTCAAAAAACCAAGCCATCGCTTAGATCGCAGGTTGCCACCCAACGAAATCGATGAATTACATGATCAGTTTGAGCATGAACAAGCCAAGCCGAAGAAACGCAAACTTGGTGGTCAGCGGGATCGGAGCTTGTTTGAGGAGGAGGATGAAGAAGAGCCTGAGCTCAGCAAGAAATTTGGACGAAAACTTGCAACAGGGAATGGTCGGGCTTTAACGATGGGGAGTAAAACACAAAGTACCACTGGTCTACCACGGGCGCTTGGGCTCGGGGCAGCACCCATAGGGTTTTCTCCCCTGAAGAAAGACCGCAGACGATTTTAATCAGAAGATCCGGCAATTCATTCTTATTGGCACAGGCTTGGTGTATTTAATATGTACATGACATGTACTCCGTAGACACGTACCTAGAGAATGCCCATGCTTCTAAGATTATGCCGATAAGAGCCGACTTGAGTGTTTTGCCGGCAGAAAGTAAAAAAGGTTTCCCAAGCTCCCGATTATCTCCCCTGATATTATTCAATTCGCATTATGTTTGCTTTACATTCAACTCGATTTTGGCGGAACGCCTGCCATCAGCAGGAAATTGGTCAAGCAATTGGCCAAGCAAGACATGCATCATCCAAACGCTGGCAAGCCCGGCAGCAAAAGGATCAGTTCACCAGAGAGGCAGCTGTCCAAGGGCTGAAAAGCCGTGCTGCTTTCAAATTGCTGCAGGTGATTCAGAATCGACATTACTCTATCTCTCTGGATTAGTCTGACACACTGTTACCTGCGGTTAGATTGATGAGAAATATCGAATCTTCAAGGGTGGGCAGACAGTTGTTGACTTGGTATGCTAGTCGTTCAACCTAAACTCGGATCATTGTTTAATTCCGTCGCTTTAGGGTTATGCTCCGGGATCGTGGTCACAGGTGTGTCGGCTATTCCTTATTTGTCTATTGCTGTCAAATGGGCCGTGATTAACTGCCAGAAAAGGTTGCTGCAAGCCGCACCCAACCGCATGGCCGAGTCCTCGGTGTCGATATCATCCCAGCCCAACCACCGAAAGGAGTATCTACGATTCAAGGCAACTTCCTCTCACCCGAAATTCAAACATATATCCGAGACTTTCTCCGCAGTCCAGACAGAGGCAGGCCGCGCCAACCCAGCTTCCTGGACGATTCCAGTATCAGCCCATTGGAGCCGAATGCAGATACGGAACGCACTACCGAGGCCGAGAAGACGGATAAGATGGGCGAGAAAATACTTGAAAGAACGGTAGATGTGGTTCTTAGCGATATGTCCGCGCCCTGGCATCAGACCTCCGGTTTCTGGAAACGAAGTCTAAGTGCTCCTTATAATAGGATGATGAACACCAGCGGCGTCAGTTTCAGAGATCATGCTGGAAGTATGGTATGTATGCCTATTACTATTGAGTCGATATATGTGAAACCCTTCTGACTTTACGCAGGATCTCTGCCACGCGGCTTTGCGCTTCAGTTCGGATGTTTTGAAGGCAGGAGGTCATTTCGTCTGCAAATTCTACCAAGGCGCCGAAGACAAAGAACTGGAGCAGCAGCTGAAGGAATTATTCAAAAAAGTTCACCGCCTTAAACCCGAATCATCTCGCAGTGTATGATTGACCTTATCCAATTTCTACACCCCCACCGACTAAAGCAATTGTCAGGAATCCAAGGAGGCCTTTTTCGTTGGCCTGGAGCGAAAAGCGTGAGACTAAAGCTTTTTCGGACTTACGTGTTGACAGATCACAGCATAGCCGAAGTGCCGAATCATGCAGTCTGTCTAAAGGATCTCGATCTCCTCGTTGTCAGATGCCTCGTCCCAGTCAATATCGGCTAGTGCTGCTTCCGCCTTCTCATGAACCTTCATATTCGTCAGTTTGGGATCAAGTCGTTTTGTAGTCATCGACTGACCTCTCTTAGTCCACTCAATTCTTCGACATAGCCATGTTCGTTCAAGGCTTTTCGCACAAAGTCCCAACCGTGCTCGCGGTATGCACTGACAATTTTATCTGAGCATGCACTGCAGCTCGAATAACTTTTGCCGGTGACAGACAAGTTCTCGAAATTAGAGAGAAACCCTCGTATTTGATGGGGCACACTTCCTAAGGGGTGATCATCACGCTCAGTATTTCGGGCAATGGGGGCTGGTGCGGCAGCGCCTCGGGGGTGCTGAAGTATTGACACGAAAAGCTCCACCAGAAGTGCAGAGGCTATAGGAGCCACTCCAGGGCGGGTCACTGTACACTGCTGGTCGAGTGTTTGATCTTTGATAGACTATTCCGCAGTCAGTTCTGTATAAAGCAGGTCCCTTCTTTGGATAATCTTACATTAGCTGGTACTACCACATCGTTGCAGAAATAGCACCCAAGCTCAGCTGGATTTTCATCCTCCATGATACCATGGCGCATCACCACAAAGGAATCAAATCCTAGAGCTGCGTTCATCACAATTTTCCCAGCCGCCTTTCCCATCACTGTGGGCAGCCATCGCGATTCTCGGGTATCCATGAGAAGGAAGATAGCATCATGTTCATCAATCAGTGTCTTGAGACGATCAAAATCTGCCCTGGTCGCCGCTTCGTCCACAATAGGATGGCCTGCCATGGGCACCGAGAACACATAACCTTTAGTATCTACTCCCGGGTAAATTTGGGTTAGGGCTTCGGATGCTCGAAGTGCTTTTTGGACACCACCGTTCAAGCAGTCTTCGAAATTGAATAGTGGCTGCCGAACAGGGTTAGAAAATGAAACCGTCCCATTGTCGACGAAAGTGATCTTCTTCACGCCCCAGCCCTATGTAGTGGATGATTAGAACAAATTTTCGGCAGGGAAGTTGACGTCCACATACCAGCAGATTTCGGGAGACGTAGCTGCCTAATGTGCCAGCCCCTAGCAATAGACATTTCGTGTTCTTGATTTTTTCAAGATCGAGCGTCGGGCTGATCCGCCATTTGATAAGTTTGAGGTTGAGATCAACCGACTGGTCTGCCAATCTTCAGTAATAAAATTAGCATGCTTGATCAAGTCTTCATTCAGTTTGGTTATCTCCAAATTAATGCCATACCTCTTAGGATCCATGTACTCTGTAAGGTTGACAATTCTCCCGGCTAATTTCCCAGTCGAGTTGCGTTCCCAACCGGTCACCTTTGGCAGTGGTAACGACCCTTGACTTTGCAGTGATCTCGGTGTCTCAGTCTCTTGTTTTGAACTTGACTCCAGCTGAATTACTGTACTGCGCCCTTGATCACGCCTCGCGTGCACGTCGCGATAGCGTATCAATTGTACCCTTTCGATCCCCCATCGCTGCTTGATCAGAACAAGCAGGTTTCGTAACATCCATCCTGGGGCCTGTTCATAATTTGATGGGTCTGCGAAACAGAAATAGCGGTCTTCAGTAGCGACATTTTTGAAAAACCCATTTTCATATTCGGAAAGTGACGCTATCTGCCAGTTTATATTTGAAGTGTCGCCTTGTTGGGCATTCTTCGTTTCGGAATCACCTGAGGATGCGTTATCGGAATTCTCTCTGACTTTTCGAGCCAAAAAAAACCCTCGTTGTCGAGGATCCACCATATATGACCATGTTTCCACCGCCTCCACCAAGGCAGTGCTTTCATGTGGAGATAAGTGTATTCCCTTCAAGTTGTCAAGACTATTATCCTGGTGTGGCTGGGATACTTGGTCTGTTGGTTGCACGGGGACCCATTGAGGATCTGAATGGATTGCTGGGAAAGCAAACCAGTAGTGGAACTTGTATTTTTTGAGGTCTGCAAAAGATACAATCACGAAACTGCAGAGTAAGGAGGGACAAGAAAGAATGGTTCCATCATGAATGGCATCCCATATCTGGAGTTGATTAGTATCTCTCTCTAAGGTATCTGGCTAATGTTGATTCCTACCATTTGTCCAGCTTGATAGAGCAGTTTGGATCTGTCCATGTTTCGATATTCCTCAACAGTATTGACATTTTTGATCATGCCCTCTGCTCTGTAATAGCCAGCCGGGACCCTAGGTCGCTGTTAGAAGGGCTTTCAGGGATATTTTCTTTTATCTTACTCGCTGCTGGTTAGGGCGTTCCCATGGATTTGAATACGACACGACGCAGCTTCGGGATCAGACGGACGGATCTCATATAGTCCCAGAACAGGCCGGGCGGAATCATCTAGTTTGTCATGGTTGATCTTATGGGAAGCCAGTGAAGTATAGAAGGGTAATTCGATGTCGGAGGCAAACGGTGCGTACTGCATCTTGGAGGAACAGGGGGAGAGAACGAGAAGAATAGCTTATCAACTCCAGAGTGATATAGATTTGGAAGGTTGGATGTAGCAGTTAGCAAGGGTGGGGGGAGGGAGGTGTAAAGGTGTGTAGTGAGGTGAAAGGGTCTGATGTCACGAGGAGCCCGCGGCGGGGGTGAAGGTTTATCTATCCACATTTACCTTCACACTTGCTTCATGTGAAAATGATCACTACATATGTACCCAAAGCCAAGAGCTTTATCCCGAAAATATAAATAAAACTAAGGAGGAGTCCTCAAGTTTTAGAGGAGCGAAATTAACCGAGACACACCGTTAACTCATAGCGCGACATTTAACACCACCTCATATCACCACATTCTGAATGATATGAGAGGATGCATCTCATTTCGTTATTTTTTATCGTCTATAGAGACCTGGCCACCGTAAGATGTGTCGCCAACTGGATCTATCAAAGGGGTCCGTACTTGCGACCCCAAATAATACCTTAGTTAATACAACGCACTGATGAGCAAACCAAATCCCCACTACAAACCTCCAACGACGCGGATGCCATTCCCAGCTAGGGCTCCATCTAACAGCTCCGACGTTCGCGCCGTACATAAAGGGATCTCAGGAAGGGACGACGCCTTCCTGGCAATGGATCATCAATTTTAACGTCGCTTAAGCTTCGCAATATAAAAAGATCGGATTTTCTAATATTTCGGATTTTACTTTTTCTTTGTTAATGTTCAATCTGGTATGAAACCATATACGCATCTTGATAGTAAGATAGACACCAGCAATAAGCAAATAAAGTAGGGTTCTGATTTCGTGCAGTTACTGGTATACTCAACGTGAGTAGCCACCGGCCCAAGCCCTATGTCCCAGCTCAGTGGAATGCACGAGGATGATATACATACATATCTGCGCCGGTGAGTTGAACTGCCTAAAAAGGGACATCCATGGATAGGAGGCTTGATTATATAGTTTCTGGTGGTGGATGGCTGGTTAAAGTCAGATATCGTAGTTGAATGGCAAGGAGAAGTACATTAGGCATAGGAAACCACCTGTGAGAGAACACAGCTCATTATCACTAGGCCACAATTAAACCATAGGCCTTTTATATGTAATCATAGAAAGAGGTGCGCTGTATTTATCTGTTCTGTTTCTTTTGGCACATGGGAATAAGGATCTAAATATCCGTGTGTAAAAAGATCAAAAGCAGATAGTGAAAATGCATCAATAAGAAGATAGACTAAGACATCATGAACGATGCAACCATAGGCTAACCTTACAGACGCCAAGAGCAATACTTGTCTATACAGCTACCCAACACTGGAGTATATGGGCAACATCCCGCTATCAGGCCGATAAGGTCGCGTCGCGCTTTGCTCTGCCCCACTTCTTTCTTCTTTTCTTCTCTTCTTTTAGACAGTACAATCATTAAACACCCTGAAAATGCTCATCGGCTTATGTGGAGGTCAGCAGATAATTCTTGCAAACCAAACCCCCACCCGACACGGGACGAGCTAACGAGGATATACGTCAAAAGGCATTTGCGCTGGCAAACATGCGATTGCTGACTACCTGATTCAGCAAGGGTTTCAGCTTCTTGAACTCGCCGACACACCCCAATACCACACTACCGACTTAGAGGATGACCTGCGACTGCAAGCGTCGGAGATCCGAAAAAAAGACCCCAAGTCACCAAAGCTTATATTTCAAGATGCCGACTCTCTACTCGACTTTGCGACAAAAAGATGGCAAGAACGCTGGGTTACTACAGACATTGCAGATCCTACTACCCTAGATCGATTCCTCTTGCGCCCCTTCTTCCTCCTCGTGAGCGTGGATGCGCCAATCGGCCTCCGATGGAAACGATTTGCCGACAGGTTCGTGATGATACATGTGACTGAAGTCCGAGAGCTGATTTTCTTTTTCTTTGATTGAAAAAAGATGTTGGAGAAGACAACTGGATCCGCCTGAGCTTGAAAAGTTCATAATGTGGAACGATCATAATCTTTACGATCAGGATACTGGACGTGTATACTTGACCGACAAAGCTCAATTGCGCCTATTCAATTCCTCGACAGGCCTCAAAGAGTTACACTCGGCTTTACAAACCCTCGACCTGGAAAACGAACAAAGGTTGAGGCCAAATTGGGACCAGTATTTCATGCAGCTGGCCTCTCTTGCTGCCCGAAGAAGCAACTGCATGAAAAGAAGAGTGGGATGTGTGCTCGTTCGAGAGAGTCGTGTCATCAGCACAGGATACAATGGGACGCCACGGCATCTCCAGAACTGCAACCAAGGCGGATGTACGATACAGGCCAGAACTGAATAACTCTAATGGCTCTATTGTCCATTTGGCTCACTAGAAATCATTATAGGTCCACGGTGCAATCGCGGGGATGGAGGAGGAGTCGGTCTCTCAACCTGTCTTTGCCTTCACGCCGAAGAAAACGCGTTATTGGA